GCAGGGGTGTCCAACCTTGGCAACTTTAAGACTTGTGGACTTCAACTTCCAGAATTCCTCAGCCAGCTGGCTGAGGAATTCTGGGAGTTGAAGTCCACAAGTCTTAAAGTTGCCAAGGTTGGACACCCCTGCTTTAAGGGTAACCTTGTCCTAATACTACTCTTAGTTCTGGCCCTAATCTGAGACCTAGCACTTGGATAGCCAACCTAGTCATAGGTAATCTTCCAGGTATCCTAGGTGTGGGAGAATGCCAATTGCTTTGGGCCCTTTCAGAATATTGTCTTTAACATCATGCCTCTCTATAGATATGCATGAATGGAAAACATTTTGAAATGCAGTTCAGCCACTGATGAATTGAGCGTGCCTTTTCTTCTAATAAGAGTTCCATATTGGAATTGGAATATGTTAATTTTCTCTTTGGAATATGTTAATTTTCTCTATTTACACTAGTTCAGATTCCTTTTTTAAAAATCCAGTAACTAAACAGGTGGTTATGCAGTGATGAGAGGATATAGATTTTAAAAAGAAAGACGTTCATAGTTATTTATAGCTGTGCACTTCTATTGTAGGGGAGAAAAGCTTAGAGCACTTCTGAATGAGGATTGTGCACAAATTCCAAAGCCCCATTGTATAATTTGAATCTGAATATGGAGCCAATCTGTTTCCAGCTCAGTTGTGTTGTAACCCAAACTGTAAAAATTGTAAAAAAAAAACCTTTCATTTTGCAATGGTGACGTTTTCTGGAGAATGTGGATGGTCTGTTTCCCCACCAGGAAGGGTTCTTGCCAGCTCCCTCTGACCCCAAAGTATCAGCCCCCAGAAGTCCTTTTGTCAGGATTCCAGCAGTTGCCCTAACTAAATCATGAGCCTCGAGCCAAACTTCAAAACCAATAATGAATTTATTAGGAGGGAACATGCATGTAATTCACTGTCACCCTTAACCTTGGTTTCCCCCCACCCCTTTGAGTGCGTCATAATTCATATTCTCCAATTAGAGATTTGCCTGTGCAGAAACTCCGGTCGCCTAGTTACTATCTCTGCAAGTTATGAATGGAATGCACTTTTGATTCCAAACTGCTGTACTGCTCTTTCAAACTCCTTTCCCATCCCCGCTTTTCTGTTGGCAACTGTAAAACGGGCATAGAAACGTTTTATGAGTTGACACCTTTCTGATCCTGTCCCTATCTCAAGCTCAAATTGCCAAGGCAAATGGCTCACCAAGGAGTAGGTCCTCGGACAAAGGAAACGTTGAAAAGCTGAAACGTTTTTATATATTGATCCAAAAATCTCTAATAATCTCTAATGAGTCAAGCATGAATATCATGGCATGTTATTAAATGTATAATTTATCACACACACAACACTGTATATGTATGTATGTATGTATGTATGTATGTATGTATGTATGTTGTATGTATGCCTGTGTACACACACATACACACACGCATAGTGAAACAGAGAGCAGTGAAATTAGTTACAATACTCTAATGTCCTTTTGGCCACATGGCTGCCAGTAATTTTCATTAACTAGTATACCAATATTTGGTGTTCTTCCTAGATTGATATGTTCTTCCACCTCCAAGAATGTATCTGGGAAACAGCAGAGGAACAAGAGGTTGGGAAATGTCTTTTTTTTCCTGAGGGAGTTAAGGGATGTCACTGCCCTGGAACCAATGCTAAATGTGTGCTGATGGATGAAATATGAAGGTTGTTATGGAAGCTAATTGGTGTTAGGATTAATATTTTAGCAATATTTGCTCTGCAAGGATCACTTCTGAATGAACGAAAGGAATGAGATGGAAGAATTGAATGGCTAAGTATTAATGGCATTGTGAATAAGGCTGTTTTTGACTGGAAATGAGTGTGTATGGGGGGGGGGGGTTTCCTCATACATCTCCCCAAACTTCCTACAAAATGTTAGGATGACCCTCTTTTTTTATAGATTTCTTCAGCAGGCACAAGAGGAAGATCCCGAAACTGTAGCTCCCTTATGCCAAACTGTCTGGAAAGTGCTGGGAACTTCAGCAGTGCCATGCCACAGAAATGTAAGCATCAGCAACTTCATGCAACAAAGCTCTGAAAGAAATGGCTACAGATGCCACAGATGCCCCTGTTCCTCCTGCCAGGCCACGAAAGTAGGAGGAGCGGGGGAAGCAGGCCTCTTGCATTGACCACTGCTCCTTTGTCTAGGCAATCACCTGTTTGTGGACTCCTCTTTGCCAGACTTGGCTGTAGGACTCATGTTGCTGGCTGGATCCCTGACTGTACTGTGCACCTGTCTTATGATGTTGGTCAAACTGTTGAACTCTGTGCTCAAAGGCCAGGTGGCCAGAGCTATCCAGAAGGTCATTAACACAGGTAGGCTGATGGACTGGTTGTCTCCCATCAGACTGGAGATTTCTTGGGTCAACAAGTTTAGATGTCGGGCCTCTGAAGGTTCTACTACAAGTTCTACTACAAGTTCTTGTAGTAGAGCCCATCTATGTGAATCCTCTCTTCTCCTTGCTGTTTCTGACATTGCACTGGTTTGGGCAGATCTTCCATCACCTTTTGGATGGGCCACCGGTTACTTTGCCATGCTTGTTGGTGCCGGGATGACGTTTGTAATGCAAAGTAGCTCTGTCTTCACGTCAGCAATCACCCCTCTCGTAGGTAAGTCCCCCAATATCTTTTCCCCCAAATCCTAGTAGCAAGCTCAAGATGGAAGGACTGTGTTGTACAAAAAAAACTCAGGATGAGATTTACTGTGGATTTTTAGCCCCCCTGCAAAAGGAGAAGAGAAGCACCAATCTGCTAATAATAATTCTTAGCCACATCTGTCCCATTCACCATGGCAGGAGGAGGTCAGCCTGGGGTTTAAAGGTATAGCTGCTCTGGGATATATGGAATAAATATGCAAAATGTTACTATCATACTTAAACAGAACATAGTGATGCAATGATGATTTGAAGGCACAGCTATCTCAGAAATTATTGAGATGCAAGGTGCTGTATCTATGTTCACATAACATATTTAGCCAGTTAAAATTTAGCAGGTGCATAAGCAACAACCACGATAAGCTTGGTGATTTTTCATGGCTTAACGTGGGTACAAATCCATCTTGCTTGGTTCAGAATATACCTCACAGAAACATGGAAGGAATAGTCCATATTAGAGGTCATCTAATCTAATCTAGCCTCCTTAGTATGTGATGCAAAGCCAGATGGTTTATTCAGTAACCTGGTTAAACGAGATGACTGAATGGGGATAATGAGGAACTGGACTCATCTTCAGGAACTCTGCTTTTGTGGAATAAAGGAGGGCTTCCTTTGCACTGCTCTTGTGTGTATTGTGGGGAAGGGAGTTGCTAACTTTTTGACCAGCTGCTCTTTTCTTTTGTGGGACAGGTCTTGGGATGATCAGCTTAGAACGTGCGTATCCCCTCACTCTCGGTTCTAACATTGGAACTACAACCACTGCTATCCTAGCAGCCCTGGCCAGCCCAGGGGATAAATTGGCCAGTGCCTTGCAGGTGAGGAGATGCCCTCTTTCTATTCTGTTGAACTAGAGATGATGGCTTATGACAATAGATTTCCCCGCCTAAGGATTTCTTTATGTGCCACTAAGGACCGCCATTCCCACCAGCTATCAAAAAAACCCAGGAGGAACCGCAATGGTAAATCAGAGAGGCATTAGAATGAAAGGGGTATTAGGTTCCTTTCCTTGCTCTCCCCACAAACCATGTGCCTGGTGGGCATTTCTTCCCAATGTTGCACCTGAAAGAACTGCTATGTTTGTGGCTTCCCTTCTCAGATTGCTCTCTGCCACTTCTTCTTCAACATCTCTGGGATTTTGCTGTGGTATCCCCTGCCTTGTACTCGCCTCCCAATCCGCATGGCCAAAGCGTTAGGTGAACAGACAGCCAAGTATCGCTGGTTTGCTGTCTTCTACCTGATTATCTGCTTCCTCTTGTTGCCGTCGTTGGTTTTCGGACTCTCCGTGGCAGGATGGCAGGTGCTGGTAGGAGTGGGATCTCCGTTCCTGATTCTTCTAGCTTGTGTGGCTGTTATCAACATCATGCAGTCACGAAGTCCAGACCGACTGCCCAGGTGGCTTCAGAGTTGGGACTTCTTGCCGTACTGGCTTCATTCTTTGCAACCCTTGGATGGGCTGATGACCAGAGCCATGGCGTGTTGCGCTGCCTATTGTTCAGGTAGCCAAGGGGAATGTAAAAAGAAGTCACCAGAGGTTAAGGTCAGAAAAGGCTTGCCGAAGCCTTCTGTTTTCTTCTTAGAGGAATGGTCTCCACCACCAAGACTCTCATCCCAGGTGAATATTCTGCCAACGCAGCCTGCTAGCCGCCTGTGATTTGTGCCAGAGCACAGCTCTGTTGTGGCCTGCAGACAGTGATGCTGAGCAGACAAGGAATGATAAAAGAAAAAGCATGACAAGAAACTGCATCAAATATTGGAGTTTGTGTTGATAGCTGCCCTCCTCACCGGAACTCTGTCATTGCCACATGTGTATTCCAGCCAATATAGATTCATGTCTCATTGGGTGCAGCTTTTCATGGGAAATATGGCTATAACTGGCATTTGGTATTCACTGTGCATATCATTTTGTTATGAGCATCAGTGAAGGAGTGCATGTGGACTTACGTATAGTGCAGGAGAGTTTATAGTACTTATAATGCAGCACTCTCGATTGCCCTTAGCATCTGTGTAACAGGAGCTCCATATATTCGGAAATTATTTTGTAGCAGAACTGGAGGTCTCCCCATGTGCAACTCATTTGCAGAATTACTTATAATGGTGATTGAAAGATATTTTCCTTTTAACTTGACAACAAGGCTCTTCAAATGTCTGATGACAACTCACATCATCTCAAAATCATTATATGTGCTAATTGAAACCAGTGGGAATTGGAAGCAAAAACCATCTAGAGGTTGTTTGAACCTGTGGAACATCTACTCCATTTTATAGTATTGTCTTAATAGATTCTGGCTGTCAAATTCTTTATGAGCAAGTAAGTGATAGAAATTGGTACAATGGTGCTTTCTTAAATAATTCTAATAATAATAATAATTTTGGAATCCCTAAGCAATCAGTTGCTACATTTACTCTGCTTATATTTCTGCTTGGTAGTTATAGATCACTTCAGTTTGGGTTCCAGAAAAATTCTAGAAATAGAAATGGGGAGACATTTGTTTCTGTAGCTTTTACTATATATTGTATTTTTCCGACTATAAGATGCACACACACCCCAAAAGTGGGTGGAAACGTCTCTGTGTCTTATAGAGTGAATACAGGCCTGTTTTTGGCCTCCTGAAGCCTCTGTGGGTCGCATTTTTGCCCTCCCCGGCATTGGGGATGCCAAAGATGGGCATGTTTTTGGCCTGCAAAGTGTTTCTAGATGCCGGGGAGGGCAAAAATGGGACCCACCGAGGCAAAAAACTACTTTTTTTTTCTTGTTTTCCTCCTCTAAGCTTAGGTGAATCTGATGGTCTGGTGCGTCTTATAGCCTGAAAAATACGGTAACTGTTCTCATAATTTTCATTATTCCAGTGAAAATGTAGATTGTGAAGAATGTGGTGTGTACTATTCATAAAATGTGACACAATATTCTCTTAGTTACCGCTGAAATTCAGCTGAGGTTGAACCAATAACGTGATGCAGATCAGCAACTAACAGTCCTAAGACAGAAACCATTTCCTTTGATTTTTAAGTTTTTACGAATAGAAACCCCTATGTTAACAGAGAAACCGATCACATAAGAATATACTTTGGGGAGAGGGAGTGAATCTACCCCATTAGCAGACCCCGAACCTGGTTTGAATTAGGAGTGTAGCCAGCACTTTGGTTATTTTGGTTGCTTTAAAAAAAAATTGCAAGTACTAGGAAATTTTGTAATCTTCCCTGAATCTTCTCCATGTCTCATGTTCGCATTTACTTTATGATTATGTCACCCGAACGTGCACTCTGTCATTTTTACCTTTGCTTTGGAACATAATCCCAGGACACCTTGTGTTTCTGCTTTTGTCAAGCTTGAATTTGCAGAGTTTCTTTCAGATCTGTGTCCCCTGTTGCATAATTTGAGCATCCAGGTGTGTTTCTAAGTCACTCCTTCAAAAATAAAGTTCACGCATAAGTCTGTTCTTTAAGTGAGCTAGAATATTACAGTATATAATTTTCTGTTTCTTGAATGATGAGGTCCCAGGAATAACATTACTTTTTGGAGAAGGAAGTGCCCTGGATTTTTATGGGCATAAATAGACTGTTACTCAGTGTATTAATACACTGCACTATTTGATTTGCTATCCAAACATCTTTTTCTTTTTTTCCTAATGAGAAGATCAAGCTTTTCTTCCTGGTTAGCCACAATTCCTTAGGCATCTGAACGCAAAGGAACTGAACTTTGTGTACACTATGGGTTTTGAATGCACTGCCGTGGCCAGTATTGTGATCACCCAGCCATATTGTGAAACCCATTCCATGATTTAAAGATACTTCCTGACTTATGACTACAACTGAGCCCAAAATTTCCATCGCTAAGCAAGACGGTTGTTAAGTGAGTTTTACCCCACTTTATCACCTTTCCTGACACGGTTGTTGACAATTGTCTGGCTTCCCCATTGATTTTGTTTGTCAGAAGGGCGCAGAAGGTGAGTGCATAACCCAGGAATGCTGCAACCATCATAAATACATGCCAGTTGCCAAGCATCCAAATTTTGATCATAATGTGATCACGGGGATGCTGCAACACTTACACCTAGCAACAGTTGCAAATGTGAAAAATGGCCATGTCACTTTTTTTCCAATGCCATCGTAACGTCAAATGGTCACTAAACGATGGTTACAAGTCAAGGATTACTTGTACTGCTGTGCAAGTGAATGGAACAATATCATTTTGGAAAAAGTGCCCCCAAAGGCAAAATCCTATCCCTTGTAATTGGGCAGCAGAATCCTTGACAGTGGTTTTTCATTAACAAGTTACTCCCACCAGTATTCAAACATACAGAGGTGTTTTATTCTAACAAGTGAACTTAAGGGAGAAGTACATTTCCCTGCCTTCAGTGAAGGTTTTTGAGCAAAGCCCTTAACATAATCGGATAATTTACCTGTCCTCCTCTCCTTTTCAGTGAAAGGGGCAGCAGAGTCCTTGAAAATTAGGAATGTAAAGCAGACATGCCTGGGCTGTCTTATATCACTTTTGCATTTCTTAGGGTGATCTTGGTGCACCCTCCTCAAAGCGTCGTATGTGCACAGATTCTGCGGCAGAGCTTCCAGCATTCTGCCCCCATAAAACCTCTGGACATGCTCTGGATAGGCCTGACCATGAAAAATACAGATGTGCAGAGACCCTTTCATGACAATGATTAATCAGGCATCCAAATTTTACAAAGAAAATAAATTAACAAGGTACTAAAAAACAGAAATGGGCGGTTGAAGATACTCCTTTTCTAGTATGGCACTTTTTGGTCTATGTCCCAATTAAGATAAAAATCTGTATAACTTTAACTATCTCTAAAGATATTTTACTCACCAGTTAAAACAAATATATCTTTTAAAAACAGGAAACCTTTAAATAACTGATAGTCATTATGGTCCTTCCTAAACATCTGAAATCAGCCCAAGGTTCCTAAGCTTTGTGGTATTGTGAAATGATGCACATGTGCAAGCACACATATGCACATCACAAATTAAACGAATTATTTTATTGAGTTAGAATTGGGCAAGAAATAACAGTACCACTTACTTTTTAATAATTATATGTATACATAGCAAAGGTTTCCAAACTTTGTAACACGGTAACTGTGTACTCTGGGTTTGTGCGGACAAATCAAGCAAAACTGAGAGGAAAATCTTGACAGTAATTTCCACGGTGTCTGAGTAATCCTTTCCGAAAATTGTGGTTCCCTCTACAGGGCTTGCAACCCTCTTCTACACCCTGCAGTTCTGACCCACAGTTGGGAACCCCCCAAGTTAGTCCATATCTGTCATTATAGTGGTCTAGAAATAACTCCACAGAATGTTGCTGCCATGAAAAACAACCATCTTTAGTGAAACACGTCTCAAAGATTCTTCTGAGAAACGAAATAGATGATAGTATCCTGTGATCTTTACACCCTTGTTTGTTTGTGGGTTTATGCACGAAAATAGGATCCTTGCAAATTGACACCTTACACAGTCTTGTTAATTGCCTGTAGGTCTCTTCTGAGCAAACCTGGTATTTAGTATAGCATAGGAATAATTCCCTGAGATACTTCATTTGCATTGCTAATGCCCAGCCTGGATTTGAGAAAGAAACTGCATTGCTATAAATGGCTCATAAAGACCCTTGGCAAACAGTTCCTTTAAAAGGATTCAGCCGCCCACTCATCTCAAATGCCTGTCGGTAGGCGAGCTATATTTTAAAATTCAACCTACTCCTTTATTTGGCAGTTAACACTATTTCTGTAACACGTTATGCCAGCGTCTTTTGGAAGTGAGGTTAGTGCACAGACAACTCTGGCCACTGGGCGGCAATGTGGGATAACAGGAATCTTAATTTATAGTCCTGGGAAAGCTAGCCAAGGAGTAGAGGCCAAGGGCCAGATGGCTCTGCCAAAACAGCTGAGATAGGATAGAATAGAATAGAATAGAATAGAATAGAATGGAATGGAATGGAATGGAATGGAATGGAATGGAATGGAATGGAATAGAATAGAATAGAATAGAATAGAATAGAATAGAATAGAATAGAATAGAATACTTTATTGGCCAAGTGTGATTGGACACACAAGGAATTTGTCTTGGTGTAAATACTCTCAATATACATAAAGAAAAGGTACATTCGTTAAGAATCAAGAATCATAACGCACAACACTTAATGATATTCATAGGGTACAATCAACAATCAAATCATACTAGGAAACAGTCAATATAAATCGTAAGGATACGGCAACAAAGTTACAGTCCTACAATCACAAGTGGGAGGGGATGGGTGATAAGGAGTGATGAGAAGATTAACAGTAATAGTAGTGTACATTTTGTAAATAGTTGAACAGTGTTGAGGGAATTATTTGTTTAGCAGAGTGATGGTTTTCGGGGGAAAACTGTTCTTGTGTCTGGTTGTTCTCTATAGCGTCGTTTTGAGGGAAGGAGTTGAAACAGTTTATGTCCAGGATGTGAGGGGTCTGTAAATATTTTCACAGCCCTCTTTTTGACTTGTGCAGTGTACATGTCCCCAATGGAAGGCAGGTGGGTAGTATTTGTTTTTTCTGCAGTCCTAATTATCCTCTGAAGTCTGTGTCTGTCCTGTTGGGTTGCAGAACCAAACCAGACAGTTGTGGAGGTGCAGATGATAGACTCAATAATTCCTCTGTAGAACTGTATCGGCAGCTCCTTGGGCAGTTTGAGCTTTCTGAGTTGGGATGGTGGGCCTGTAAACTTGCCAGTGAGGAAGCAAAGGTGGGTTAGGGGCTGGGTAAGAACCCTGCTGAAGAAAAGCAAGATAAGAAAAACAATGCAGAGAGCCGAGAAGAACCAAGGCAATAATTGATCTATTTCAGATCCTGCTAATTTGAGGTTGCCCCCCCAAAGCCTTTAAAATACAGCCTTCCCTTGAGGAACTTGATGGATTAATGAAAATGATTCCACTAAGCATGTGCAGAAGTACACAGGTTTCAGGTCTAGGCAATCACAGCTTCCGAATTCAGGAGAGTTTTTTCCTCACAAAATCTAGCCATCTTTTTCCCCCTTTATTCCCCCATCCCACTAGAAGCATAATGAATTCTCCTTCAAGTGGTGCTTGATGCCCGCTGACTGTATGCCACCACCATGCATGCTTTGGGGAGTGGGCAACAGCATGATTGTGGCTTGCCATTACTATCTTCCTGGAAGTCTTTATCTCAGTGGTGGGATTCGATTTTTTTTATTACTGGTTCTGTGGGCGTGGCTTGGTGGGCGTAGCAGAGGAAGGATACTGTAAAATCTCCAGTCAGAGGTGGGATTTGCTGGTTCTCCGAACTACTCAAAATTTCCACTACCGGTTCTCCGGAACTGGTCAGAACCTGCTGAATACCCACCTCTGCGTTATCTACTTCTCAAAGGAGCCTCCAACCCTGCTCTTCTCTGCAGGTCCTAATTGGGCCTAGCTGTACTTAGCTTCTGACCCCAAAGTTGGCCAGCATGGCTGACGTGCACAGAGACACCACCCTCTCAAGAACTACAACTCCTACGGTCCTCAACCAATGTGTACACTTGCTGGCTTTCCTTCCATGGATGTGAGCTTCTAACAGATTGAAGGAGAAAGACAATACTCTGAGAAGTTAATGCTTGTTTCTGTCA